TATTTTAAGCCTTATTATAGCATCAACAACCTAGTTATAAGAATCATCAAATCTAATTAACAAAGATGAGCAGAATAAAAATATAGCTTATTAAAATTTGTTTACAATAAGTTAAGAGATAATGTTTTAAACTATTTAGCCCTTGTAGCATTATAATTGTACTTCTGTAATACAAGTAGGTATAATTTACTTCATTATTTTTCAAAATGTTGGATTATGTAAAATTTATATTACAAAGTAATATATTTAATCATATATTTTCCCCAGATTTGTTGATTTTCAGACAAACTTGGGACTATTGAATTCTCGAGACTTCATCCCTACTGGCTAGCTTTCATAATACTAGCAGCTCTGTGTAAGCTAATGGAGAAAAATAATAATGATCACTCCATCATACCTATCTACCAGTTTTGCAAAAAATAGGAATGATTGGCCTGGGAAGATGTGCTCACCAGTGTAATAGTGGCGTGAATATCATGAAAGTAACAACTACTTTGTTACTGAATTTAAGATTTTCTATACAAGACAAAATCCATACCTTGCAGCATTTTTTCTAGAACCTATGGCTAGACTGTTCATAAACCATAGTAGAGAAAGTACTAATATTATGATGTTAAACAGACATAGTAAATAACTCCTAATAACTTATCATTAAACCCATAGACCTGAATCACATCTTTCAAAATTAATCTGAAATGTCCCCTATTATAGTTGATGGTGACTCACAATTGGCCAAGATTCAGTGGATAAGACTGCACAATACTCAGATCTAAAAGGAATAGATGTATAATTAGGTATATAGATATAGATATATCTCATAACTTCTCACATGTCTCAGTGATCATTACAGAAGGGAGGGGGACATAAAAATGTAAGATCTGGGTTGGTAAATGTCTCCAAGGGAACCAAGGGAAGATTATCTTATGAACCCAGAAGGGAAGCTACACAAATAAGCTCACAGTGGTCATGAGAACATAAATCCTTTACAGTTCCTAACCATACCAAATTCTAGCATGAAGAGGGGAGTTGAGCACACTACCCAACCACAAGATACAGAGCTATTGGCAATGGTTATCTGTTACAAGAGGGAAAGACAGCTTTCCAGAAGAGTGTATCAACTTTTTAGGCAACACAGAGTGGAAGACAACACATCCATGAACACTTAGTCAACGTAAATTGATCTTGAGGCATTAAAAAAAGAAAAGACAGAAATAATAAATAAAGAGACACACAGGTTATATGCGTATAGAAGGGGGATGAGTTGAAAAAGTGTTAGAGACTGAATATGATCAAAAGCACTTTTTGTGGAAGTCTCAAATAAATAATAAAAATAAATCAAAACCATCATTAACTACAATAAAGAATTGCACAGTTTCTTCTAACAGGTCTTTACAAGGCAAAGGTAACTCATTAAAGTTCCATCAGATAACAAATTTTGTATATTCCTAAGTTAAGCATGGTGACATTGAATTTTTCTTTTTACATTAAAAGAAACAAATTTATTCTAAATTTAGAATAGTTGAAACTTGTTATATGAAATTTATCATTGTATATTTTCATTTTATGAGAATTAAGAGATTTAAAGGTACATTACTATTTGAGTGGTACATATTTTCAAAAATATTTGAATATGCTACATCTTACAGATTTAACAATTTATTTCATTACAATTTTCAATTTTTGGCAGTAAAAATACACATTTACCCAGGGTACAATCAAAATATTCACATATTTTCATTTCTCCTTAACAACCAAAACATCTCTCAAGTAACCAAGTTAATAAAATTTAGTATCCATAAGGTAAAAGACTAAAATGTAACCAAGTAATAATTACTATATACTCAATTCCAAGATCAATGGTATAGTGACTTAAACAGCCGGTGCTGAGTGAGGCCAAAACAGAGCAGGCTTGCATCACAACTAGATGAATACAACACTGTAAGCAGGGTCAAGTTCAAGCCTGAACATGTAGAGTCTGATACAAAGTTACCAGGAACTGTTGCCTCTGAGACAGAGAATGGAGAACCAGAGTCCTGCCTCTTCCCTCTTGTCCGTTTTGTCAATCTTACTGGAAGTTGTTAGTCTCTGCACACAACTGTTTACCTCAGAGGGCAAGGTTATGTGCAGTGCTAAGTGACAATATGTGCCACTCTTCCAAAGGGTACCACAGGAGGCTCTTTGTTCAGGAAGCTTTGTCAACCATCAAATTCCTGAATTTAGTTTTTCCTCCATGCTACTCCTAATTTGTATTCAACAAAATATTTTTTTCATGCAAAATGCTTTGAATATAGAACCTTAGTCACTAGACAGTTACAGATTAACAAGAATTTTATAACTGAAACATTTATACTTGACTACTCATCACTAAAAATCAAGAGCAAATCAAGTACGGAAAATTCAAAGTTACAATAATTTCACCTGTTCCAAACGCTAGCTTGCCTGCTGGCCGCTACTGATCAACAGAACTATCATTAGCCAGTTACCATTGGCTTCCCAAATTCACCTTCACAACAAAACACCAGAATCAAAAGACAGAGCAGGACTTGCTTTGATATGAGATCAAATCTTATGTTATACCCAATTTTCAGCATTTACCTTATAGTAAACTTGACCACCATTCTTTAGGAACCCACAACTAAGAATCCTCCATTTACTTTATTGCTAGATAAATATTCACAACGAACACCACAAATATCTACAGCCCTCTTTGTCATAGTTCAGCAAGATGGCTGTTGATCTGGCTTAGTGTGACACTTGTGTGAGGATGTTGTAAAAACTGTTCCAGCAAATCCTTTTTCTTGGGTTATCTCATTTGAATACATTTGCATAAGTTTTATTTTGAAAAACACTGGCCAAAATCCAACTAGACTAGAATTAAGACTTTAAAATATGTGTTGGAGCAGTGGTTTTCTCACTTCCTAATGCTGCAACATTTTAATACAGCTCCTCATGTTGGGGTACCCCAAACATAAAATTACTTTAGTTGCCACTTCATAATTGCAATTTTGCTACTGTGTTGAACCATAATGTATGCCTTAGGCATACAGTATGTCTTAGACAATCAATAATAAAGGTTTGTGCAAAGGGGCTGTGCCCCATGGATTAAGAACCACTGCTTCATACTATTTAAATAACACATTTTGGTTATTTTTCATGTTAACAGTTTAATAAAAAGCAGCCTCAGACTGAAGATGATTTTTGTTTAAGGCATAAATGAGCCAACTAAGGGTTGATCCTCAGGATTCAAACAGAGCAGACTGAACCAGGAAAATATCATCCTCCATGCCAGTGTGGCAGGCACTTAGGCAGACCATGCAATGAGTGAGTTCTTCCCTTTTTTACTGGCTTAATATTTTGTGCTGTAACTCCACAATATTGTGGTTTTTAAAGATGAGATGTAAGCTTGCATACAGAATTTTGAAATCAGATCAAGGTGAAGTCCTTACTAAAGACACCATAACAGAGGAAAATACCATTTTAAAAAGGAATCAAGGAGTGGGTAATGTTTCCATTAAAGCAACCCCAAAGCTCATCATAGAAAATTGTACTATGAGGCAACTAACTGTTAGAGAGACACTATAAGGTGGAGCTACAAGCACTACTTTTGGCATTTCTTTTAGATCTTTTCAGTCTACAAACACGTCACTGCACAGGATTTTCAACTGGAGAAATTTGGAAAAAAATATGAGAATGAGAACTATTAAAATGGCTTATAGTAAGACATACTATGAATTGTAGTATAAAATATAAATACTATAAAATAAGGATATTAAAGCATTAAAAACCTTTATATAAAATGTTTTGTAAGAATAAAATAAGAAGATTAAGATTAAGATTACAAACATTTCTTTCTTTTTCTTCTAATAAGATTTTTCAGTGGTGAGAAGCATGTCTGAAGACAACAAATGATGCTGGATAGTTCATGACGATACACTCTGATCAACAAAACATACCTGAGCTGTGGGCTGTCAAGATATGTTCTACCTACTGATAAAGCATGCCCATCATATCATCACCACCATGGCAAAAATATATGTATGATATTAAAAATGGTATGAAATAGTGTGCAATTTTCCACATTTCCTCTAAATTTGGAAGACAAAAACCATGAGGAGACTATCCCAGAATATCCCTTTATCTAAACATAATGGTTTTGAGTCTTGAAATTTTGATACAGTATTTTAGAACAACTAAGATGAAAAATAAAATCTTTCATGGAAACATTGTATTTTTCATCAAGTTACATTAAAATACCATCGAAAATTTTGATTAAATACATTTTTTTTCAACATTGCTAGTACTGTGACCTACTTACATTGGTGGAACAGCAAGTCATTATTAAAACCTGACTGTTAAATAAAAAGAATAGTTTACTATGAGTAAAACTTCTCTATACTTTTATTCAAAGCTAAGGATCTCAGCTTTGAATCCATCTTCCATCTGGAAACAGTGTAGGACTGAATTGACCAGTCAACATAAGAAATTAATTTATGCTTTTCCAAATTAAGTCATTCAATAAAAATATACTGAGAGAAAACATTCTTAATTATTATGGAACGACAAAAAAGGAAAGAAATAACTACAAGGCAACAGTAAACAGTAACTTCCCCACCTTGGTCCATTTAGAATTCTAGAATGGAATGTAAACCTGTGTCTAAGAGCACAGACATGGGTTTACAATTTTTAACAGTGTGCAGAAGAAAAACAGGAGAAGTAAATTTTTGTTCAAGGACTTGTTTTTAAAGTCTTTGCAATTGTTAGCTTTTATGCTTCTGTATAGTCAAACCACAAAGTACATCTCAGTAATCAATGCCTCCATTACTTTTCAGTTGCAAATTTAAAAAATTCCCAAGTTGCCTTTACTTAATGTGTGAACATTTAATAAACTCAAAGAATCTTTCAAAAATTTAGGTCCAAAAAACTATATCATGAAGCACGGAAGCAAAACAAAACTATGACAACTTTATGATGAATGGCAAAAGAATTAAAAAATACCTTACCAAGTACCCCAAGCCGATAGTTGACTGTGATGACGATCACATTGCCATAGCTTGCCAAGACACTCCCGTCATATAGATTTCCAGTGCCTTCCATATAAGAGCCACCATGGATGTACACCATCACTGGCTTGGGACCCCCACTGTCCCGAATATCTGCAAAACAAATGATTGGTAATTATTCTTATCCCCAACAACACGCATAAGGAAACACAGTACATTTGCATGTTAAGGACAGGGGTGTGTGATTTTAATGTCTTTAAATTGCTGTTTTTCTTAAAGTGTTTCTTAAGCAATTCCTATTAAGAGCTATTGTAGAAAAAAAGCAACAGGGACCCATTATTTTCTGTTTAAAACTTTGTTGTCAGGAGATGGACATTGTATTCAGGAATCATAAAGGACAATGGTTCGTCTCTACTGAGAGTCAAGGAATCTGCCCCTCCACCTATTTACTCTGGAGCTTTGTAGCAAATACAACATGATTGCATTAACTCATTTGTGAATATAATTATACCATTGTATTATTGATTTCAGAGTTTAATTTTACTGCTTAAGTACTGCCAAATGATTGTTTAGACAGTAAAATTCTGTGCATCTGAGCACCTGTTGTTGATACATCTATGGGAATGCCATTTAAATGATGTTTTTAGAAAAGCCATGGAGTTCGCTCATCCAAACCAAACAGTCTTTGGGAGGAATAAAAAGAAACCTGACAAAATTATATTTGCACTACTTCTAATTCCCACTTTGATGCCATATTTTTAATCATGTAGATGTGAGATGAACACCTAGTGAAGAATGACAAAATGTAGAGGGACATTATGGTGATCTTTCTTCCATTCTCAATTTAAGTCATTTTATTTTGCTAAGATACACAGAGGACAGCTTTGAGATTTCAACAAGAATGTGGAGACACTGTATGAAAAGTGACTTTATCACTATTAAAAATGTAATCATTTTGGCTGAAAAGGCTAACCTGTGTATTGATTCAGTTACAAACATTAAATTATCAAAATATGGCTATAGATAAAAATATTACTGTTTCATAGCAAGTTGTAGACCTTTTTGGTCACATGAAACATTGTATAGAGTATATTATATTTAACACTGGTTTGAAAGGATGATGCAAATATATACTTTAATTTCTGTACTTTACACATTTGACTCAGACTAAATTCCCTTAGAAACATACAGTCATGATAGCAGTGTTCAGTGGAGGCACACAATAAAATTCACAGGGAGAACTGACGATGATTAGGGACTATTTTGCCTTCCTTTTAAATAAATGACAGATTTAAATGCCTCATACATCAATCTTTTTACTACTGTGATAGAGCAATTTCTTTGAATGGAAAATAATTTTCAGATAAAAAATTGTAGCTTCTCTTGTTCAGACTTTCATGTTGAGGAAATGGCTCAAGACATGTCTTGGTGCCTTTCATGTTTGTTTGTTTGTTTTTTATTGATTGTTTCTGTTTTAAATAATCACTGTTTTCTTCATTTTTATAATTGATTTTATTTTAGCATAAAATTTACGGGTTTCATTATGATATTTTCATCATTAGTTCTCAGTTGTGCCTTTAAAAAAGATCAGTTAAAATGACCCACTGCCTGTACACATGCATGCACCTTTGCCTCCTTCCCCACTGGAAGAATATCCTGGTTTTGAGCAAGGACAACAGTTTTACACTGTAATAAGCTGTTAGGCACAGTCACCACATTTTTTCCTGAAATTCTTTGACAGGCAAAAGGTATTCTCTCTCTCTTATTTTTTTATTTTATATGTATGGGTGTTTTGCCTGTGTACTACATTTTGCCTAGTGCCAAAGGTGATAGAGAGTTGATCCTCTGGAACTGGAGGACAGCTGTGAGTTGCCATGTGAGTGCTGTGAGCTAAACCCAGTACTCAGCACAGAGCCAACTTTCCTGCCCCTGTAATTCCCTCTTAGATCAAGATTCAGGAGATTGTGGAGCTGTAAGTTTGAAACAGGGACAGAAATCCCTTTGCAGATTGTTAAACTACACACCTAAAATGCCTGTGTGCTACATACAGTTTTAGGTTCTTATTTTTCTTGTATGGTTGGCATTGAAGAAGCAATAATAAATTATTAAGCTGAAATCATTAGCCGAGCTGTTCGCAGCAGACACTGTACTCTGCTAATTGTATGCTTAGAGGTAGCACAGAGGGAGGCTGTTTCAGAATTCTCCTTTAATTAAAATTACATAGAATTACAAAGCACCCACTGTGAACAGTAATGAAGTCTTGGTAAGCCGTTCTGTTCACCTGGAAGACAATACCAGCACACATTGGGAACACTAGCCCTACACCTTGCAACAGACCCACAAGGACAGTGTCACACAGTGCAATCATGTCAGAAGAATTGGGTCTGTGCCCAGGGCAGTTTCCTTTTTGTTGTTTGTTTGTATTCCCTTGAAATTAAACTTAAAGGATTCACAGATACTTAAGTAAACTCAGATTTCTAATTTAGTTTTTCAAACTTATCAAATATTTTGGTCTTGCTTAAGAAGTTTGAATATTGAGCTCTTCTTTGCCTAGAAATTCAATTAAATTGTAATGCTATGCACTAATTTTTTTCTTTTGCAGTGACTCTGAACTTAAATACTGTATGTGTTCATACCTAAAATAAACTAAAATTACTGAACCTAAATTAATTTACTATTTGGGAACTTTTAGATCATACTGGAATCATCTAACATAAAATAACTGAAATTCCTTATTAGTGGCCAAATTTTTTGCCTGACTGTCACATTTTCTTTGTTTGCTCAATCCCTAAGTCTTGATGTTGTTAATTTAAAAAAGTTTAAATCATACCTATTTACTTTATTTTTTAAAACAGAACAAGTATTGATAAATGAAACTGATGTAATATTGAATAATACTGTTCATGATCTTTAATAATCACATTTTGACAGTGTCTCTTCTTTTTAGTTCTTGTGCTAAATGTACTCCAGTGGTTAGTATTGAATATTTTAGAGCCACAGAGCCTTTTAAAGCTTCTCTATTATTTCATTCCCTACATAAAAGATGAAGTAGATGAGCTTTATGCTTTATCTACAATTTTATACTTTTAATAAATAGCTACTTCAGACTTTACTAAAACCTGCACTTCATGGGCTCTTAAAACACTAGCTTAGTTCTAGTAAAAGTGTACATTTTCGGAAGCATGTTCATAGTTATTGCTTGTTTTAAACCTTGTTAAACACATGGAGTTTAAGAGGAGGGCAATGACAGAAGAAATCCTACAATGGTGATTATTTTCTCCTAAAGTATTAAGAGAGACCATAAGTCTTTAAGGTTAATGAAATAATAGAATTGGATTATTCATCTTTAGCCTTAGTAATCATGGCATCCTAATTAAAAATACTTTAGGCCAAAGTAGAAAATGTCAATGAACTAGACCAGTTCATAGGAAAGTCTTGGTGCTTGATAGCTATGACTCACCATCACAGTTCTTCCCACTGGAACCAATGAATAATTGGTAGACAAATTCTATAAATACGTGTATTGTTTCTTTTTAAGGACCCATGGACTGATTAATTGTCCGTATTTTAGAGGTTTGGGAGATTTAATAGCTTTTAACTTGTGAAGCATTGCCTTAATTAAATTTTTGTCTGATACATATAAAGAGACACTTGAAGATATGTCCATGCATTTCACTCATGTTTATGGGTGCTAGTTATCTTTCCAAACTACTAATGTAAAATAGAAAGCATCATTTCATTTGTTCTTGTTAACCAAGACACAAAAAAAACATGGTTGGTTAAAAAATAAATGAGAATCTACAGATAAATATTTAGGGAACTTAAATTTCTATGAAGATAATGAAATTTTGTCTAAATATTAAAATGCCTGTATTGAGATATTCTGGGCACAATTAAATGTATCTCTGCAATATTCTAAGTTCCTAAACTAAATTGAGAGAAACCTTGGATACTGTTTTGAAAAAATTTTATGACTTCAGATTAGACTGTTAAGACTCATAGTCTTTTTGATTATTATAAATAATGAATCAAGGATGATGTGATTATTTTGGCCTAGAGTTGTTGCAGCTCGGAAATTAGAAGTAACAGTCTATGTATAACTTTGTAATGCAGCTCAGTAAATAAAGGACAAAGATGTTGAATGTCAAAGTGGAGTTCAGAATACAGCTGCTGAGACCAGGCTAAAGAAGCAGGGTGAATTTGAAAGCATATGAAAACTATGGGGAATTGTAGAACCTGGTTTCCAGTGAAGGAAAGGAACCCTGGTCCAGTGATTTAGACTGTTTGCTCTGTGTCCAGTGAAACCAATTTAACAGTCGCCACAAATCCAAACTTCTTATTAGATTATTTTGATTTGCAATGCATCTACAGAATAATTGTAAGTGCACTGAAGAGGAGATAATCAGAATTTACTAAATGTTTTCTTCATGGGATATTTGAATTTATCTTTCTTGCTTTGAAGTAATTATCTAATGCAACACAGAGGAATGGACTGCATTGGAACTGGATGCTGTGGAAGCACACAGCTTTCAACATTTAAAAGCATTCCTAGACTTGGAAGCTCTGGGCAAAGTGGCTTCCCATGTCTTGAATGAGACCTGATATTTTAACACTGTCTAGAGTATTTATAATAATGAACTAAAAATGATAATGTGATTCAAAAGTGACCTGTAAGATAAATGCAGCTACAGCTACTTCAGGGCTTAACTTACTATCAATACTCAGAGGCAACCACTCTAAGCATGTAGATACATATGGGAGCTATCTTACATAATGGGAAAATAATCTGATTGAATAAAGACCTGAAAAAAATTAAACTAGAGTGATGATTTATTCTAGATATGGACTATTTTACTAAATTTTGGGCTTTACAAATGCAGCTCTCTATGCTAGCAATATATAGGACACTGGATTTTCAAGGAATTTTATATATTTTACATTTCCTTAAAGCACAAACTTAGAATCTCACTCATGACCTACAATTACCTAGACACATTCTGAATCTTAGACTATATCAGACTTAATATAAGTTTATCATCTAACTATTTAGCACTGGAAATTATGTGTTGGGCAGTGACATTTATTATTTAAAAATAATAGTAGGGACAATCTTGTGGTTAATGTCTACTTCTTCTTTGGGATCAGTGGTAAAT